AATGGGGTTGCGCATCTGTCGGAGATTTATAATTCTTCTCTCAAGGCGGGTATTGATTCCCCCCATAGGATGGGCAACGCGAGAAGCAGTAGAGAAGGGGAGAGATCGCGAAGCACTATGGGGGGGAAGGGACAGAGCAGGATCGAATGAATGGGAGCAGAGGAGGGAGGAAGGTGCCGGAACACTGGCGCTGGGGGAAGGCAGTCGACAGGTGGGAAACCCCCAAATTACCCCCTGGGTTCACAATCAGAAGGGAAGAGGAGCAGGGGAATCAAGGGAGACAGAGAGGGAGGTATAGAGAAGAAATGGGAGGCAGGGATCTCAGTATCGAGATGGAACGAACAGCTGAGGCAATGGAGGGAGGCCTGCGTTTGGAAGAGGAAGGGAGGCTGGGCGGCGGCGCCGATCAGGAAGAAGAGGAGGTGGACACAGGCCTCACCCTCGGGCTGAGGAAGCAAGGGAAAGCAGCGGGCTTGGAGGGAGGCCCAACCGAAATCTCCCTTTACCAACATGATCAGCAAGAGTTTGAGGAGGAAATGGGCCGTAATTTGAAAAAAAGGAAAGGGATGGGCCGAGTTAATAGTGAAAGGCCCATAGGTGAGATGGGGGAGGGAGCAGATGCTCTATTGGGCCCAAATGAGGCTGTTTTCATGGAAGGCATTGGGGGGAAGAACAAAAAAAAGAAAAATCAAAGGTTCAAGCCTCATTCCAGCAGCAAATCAAGGGAGAAAGACTCGGACGGGGAACAAGGAAGAGATACAAGGGCAGCGGTGGTTCGCCATAAGCCACCTCTTCGGGAATGAGTATTGTAAGTTGGAATTGTAGGGGATTTGGCCCACCCCTTACAAGAAGCTATGCAAAGCGTCTTTGTCAACGCTTAGGCCCTTCTATCGTTTTTCTTATAGAGACTAGCAAGAACGAGGCCTTCATGGAAGATCAAAGAAGAAGTCTAAAAAATTTCCCCAATAGAGAGTATGTTGAACCGGTTAACTCGTCTAGGGGGTTTGCTTTGTGGTGGAAAGCGGGTATTAGTATTAGTGTGTTAAGTAGCGATAGCTACTATATGGATGTTAGTATAGATATGGGTAGAAAGTTTTTTGGTACTTTTGTTCATGCACCCTCTACAGCTGTCAGTAGAAGGGAATTTTGGGAGCACCTGAGCTCTCTCCGAAGTAGTAGGGATGATAGCTGGGTTATTGTAGGGGATTTCAATGCAGCAATCTATGAAAATGAAAAAGAGGGTAGATGCCCTCTTAGGTACGAGAATGTGGAACCTTTCAAAAGGTTCATATTCCAGAACGCTCTGATCGATATTGGTTTCAAAGGGGAACCCTTCACTTGGACCAACAAGCGAACAGGCCATAATATGACGAGGGTAAGATTAGACAGAGTGTTGTGCTCAACTTCGTGGAGAACTCTTTTCGGAGAAGCTGTGGTCTGTCATGAAAGAATGGTGGAGTCGGACCATTGCCCAATCAGATTGGAACTCCATTTTAGAGGGAATAGGAGAAAAAAATACTCCCTTTAGAGTTGATGAAAGATGGTTGGATAAAGAAGAATGCAAGGAGATTGTGGTGAGGGCTTGGGACCCGGGAGGCCAATCATCAAACCAACTTACTAAGTGTGAACGTGATCTCAAGGAGTGGTCAAAGGATTTCCACAGAAACAGTACTCAAAGAGAGAGGGAGATTCTTGATCGACTTGAACAGCTTCAGCGTCCTCCAAGAACACAAGAAAGGGTGGAGGAAGAGAAAATGATCACAGGGGAGTTATCAAAAATCTGGATGGACGAGGAAGCATCTGGAACCAATGCTCTAGAGTGAGTTGGCTGCAAAAAGGTGACCAAAATACTTCCTTTTTCCATTCTAGCACGGTTCATAGAAGACATAAGAACAGAATCCTTAGGTTAAAGGATGAAGGGGGTGAATGGGTTGAGGACGAGAGTAGATTAAAAGGTATCTCCCTTGACTTCTATAAAGACCTTTTTAGAACCAGAGACCCTTTCCCCCCGAATCACCTTCTTGATGGTTTCCCTAGGAAAGTCTCTCACGAGATGAATGAAGAGCTTTGTGCACCTGTTTCAAATGAGGAGATTAGGAGAGCTGTCTTCTCGTTGGGAGCAAAAAAATCTCCAGGTCCAGATGGTTTCTCTGGGTGATTCTATCGCCGATTCTGGGGTATTATTGGAGAAACTCTGTGTCGAGAAATTAAAATGTTCTTTGACTCTGCCAGCATGCCAGATGGATGGAATGATACGCATATTGTTATGATCCCAAAGGTGGATCACCCTGAAGTGATCAGCCAGTTCCGGCCTATCAGTTGCTGTAATTTCCGATATAAAATTTTATCAAAGATCATGGCAACCCGCCTCAAGAAATGGATACCTGATCTAGTCTCGGAGCTTCAGACGGCTTTCACAGGAGGGAGGCTAATCCAGGATAACATCATTATCGTGCACGAGGCTCTGCACCACTTCAAGAACCACAAGAGGGGGAGAAGAAGGGATATGATGCTTAAGTTGGATATGAAAAAGGCGTATGATATGGTAGATTGGGACTGCTTGGAGGCTCTTTTGGAAAAGTACGGATTTGATGAGAGATGGCGCAGATGGATCAGTGCTTGCATCAGATCTGTCAGATTCTCGATCCTCTTCAATGGAGAAGAAACAGAGATGTTCTCCCCTTCTCGAGGCATCAGACAGGGAGATCCGCTCTCTCCATTTCTTTTCATTCTTATGTCCAATGCTCTCACCTTTCTGATCGATAAGGCCGTCACATAGGATCAGTTAAAGGGGATTCGACTGAACCCTCGATGCCCTACTATCACTCATTGTCTGTTCGCCGATGATACAGTTATATTCGGAAAGCCCAACATCCATGAAGCTGGGAAAATCCTGGAGCTTATCAACGGCTATGGGGTAATCACAGGACAAGAAGTGAATATCAACAAATCATCAATCTTCTTCAGTGCAAATGTCCCTAATGATGAGAGAGCATCTATCATTGCGCATCTAGGATTTTCCTCAACGAACTGTCACTCAAAATATTTGGGGGTGCCAACAGAGTGGGGAAATTCGAAGAAGGAGACCTTTATCTTCCTTATCCAAAGAATGGAGAAGATGGGGAAAGCATGGAAAAGTCTTCTGCTCTCTCATGGGGGAAAAGAAATTCTGCTCAAAGCCGTGATTCAAGCTATCCCATCTTACATCATCTATCTTTTCCACCTCCCAGTGACCCTTACCAAGAAGATGGATGCACTCCTTACCAACTTCTTCTGGACAGGGTCAATGCAGAAAAGCAGTATACACTGGTGTCGAAAGGAGGTTCTCTGTACTCCAAAGAGTGAAGGGGGACTGGGTTTCCGAAGCTTCAGAGATTTCAACATGGCCCTTCTTGCGAAACAAGCTTGGAGAATACTCACGTCGGCTGACTCACTCTGGAGCCGCCTCCTAAAGGGCCTCTATTTCCCGAGAGGAGATTTCATGAGCGCAAAGAAGGGAAGTCGACCATCTTGGATTTGGGCAAGTCTCTGGGAGGCAAAAAAAGTATTGAATCTAGGAGCTGTTAAGATCATTAGATCAGGAGAGGAGACTTGGATGAACCAGGACCCTTGGATTCCCAATCTTAAAAATTTCATCATCCGAAGCGGGCCCCAACAACATTTGAAGGTCAAGGACTGGATTAATCAAGAGAACAGATGTTGGGACGCGAATACTATTAAAGGGCATGTGTCCAAGGAAGAATTAGATGCAATCTTGAGGATCCCGATCGGGGAGGAAGGAGCCGAAGACTTCTGGGCGTGGAGTCTGTCTAAAGAAGGAATGTTCTCGGTTAAGACGGCTTACCACGCCTTCCACAAAGAAAATACAAACTTCCAACCGACAGGAAGCGCTGACAAATGGAAATGGATGTGGGGACTGAACCTCCCACCCAAGCTCAAATTCTTCATCTAGAGGTGCTCAAGAAATGGGCTGGCAACGAAAGAGAGGCTGTTTCACAGGAAATGTGCCCCTAACCCGACTTGTCAAGTTTGCAATAACCCAAAATGAGTCCCTCGTGCACTGTCTTTTCTACTGCCCTCATGCAAATGAAGCTTGGAGTTCTATCTTCCCTTCTCTTCCTCTCCCTCCCCAGGACTCCGCTTTCTTTGATTGGATCTGGGATATCAAGGATGCTATTTCTCAGGAAGCCTTGATCCATATCGTGTTCCTCTGCTGGAATATCTGGAAGGCTAGGAATGAGTGCACTTTCAAAAATAGAGTTCCTTGGCCCCCAAATGTCTGTTTGCAAACTTTTAGAGAACGCACTGAATGGAGTTCCATCCCGAGGCCCCCACCTACAAATGATGCCTCTCCTACTCAGCTCAAGGGAACCCATACCTCTACGAATCCCCCGCCAAGTAATCACCCTTTGATGATTCACTGTGATGGGTCGTTCATTAGCGACTCCCAGCCGGCGGCGTATGGTGTTGTGACTTCTAACCACCATGGACAAGTGAGTGATGGACGAGCTGAGACCTTTCTTTGTTCCACCCCGATGGAAGCGGAAGCGAAGGCCCTCTTGGAAGGTATTAAATTAGCACAAGAATATGGAACGGATTGCACGGTTTTCTCTGACTGTCAGGATCTGGTGAAAGCTTTGGAAAAAGATTATTCGAGATGGCCATGGCGGTGTGCGGCCTGGATTGGCTCGATGATCAACATCCTTAGGAATAACCCGTTCATTAAAGTCAATCAGGTGCCAAGAGCTTTGAATGTCAGAGCCGATTGGGTAGCACGCTCTAAAGCTAGATCTACTTTACCCGTGGACTGGATTAGTATTCTTGATCTAATTTCTGATCTTCTTTAAGATTGTAACCGGAGTTTATCGTTTGTTTCGAGGTTGGAATAAAAGATGGTTTCATTGTAAAAAAAAAAAAAAAAAAAAAAAAAAACCAAAGAGCACACGCAGTTTGGCGTCATTGGTCCTTTGACAGTTCAAAAGATCCTCCTCCTTCCTCATCGCACTCCGCGGACTTTTTTTTTTTAATTGCAATATCTCTCTCTCGCGCGATCTTTGCCGTACTGGTGAACTTCCCAAAGTTCTCGATCGCCATGGGAGAAACCGCCCCTACTCCTCCTCCTCCTCCTCCTCGCAGCAGTTCCGTCCACCAGCTCCTCGGCGGCGGCTCAGGTCTCTTCTCTCTTCCGCGCTCTCCTGAATGCTTCAATCTTGCTGATTTTTTGATGGTCCATGCATCGCATGTTTCCAATCGGAGAGTGTAATCGATTGCCGACCGATCCTTTCACTTTCTCATTTGGAATGTAAATCGTTTTGCTTTGTTTCTCTGTTTTTTCTCAGTGGCCGATGTTCTGTTGTGGCGGAGATGGGGCGCGAGCTTGACGTTGTTAGTGGTTTCGTCGACCTCGTGGTATCTATTCGAGCGAGCGGGATACAATCTGCTGACGTTCGTGGCGAATGTGTTGTTCCTCCTCGTTCTGATACTCTTCCTGTGGGCGAAATCTGCTTCTCTTCTCAATCGGTAACTTTACTGAATTGCTTTCCCCCCCCTGCTTTTCTGTGTATATCTACTGCCTTTACCTTTTGATTCCTGAGAACTGTGATCAGCAGTGATAGATGCTAGGAGCGAATTCTTAATTGTTTGATCACTAGCAATGGAATAGATTGTTGGAGATATGAATTTTTGAATCCTGAGTAAGTCCCTTTGTGTTTTGTTTAGGCCACTGCCGCCAATTCCAGATCTCGAAATAACCGAGGAGACTGTTGACAAAGTTTCTCAAGTTGTTCAAGTTTATGTGAACCATATATTGGCAGTTGGATGTGAAATTGCAATTGGCAGGAATTTGAAAGTCTTCTTACGGGTACTCTTGATTTTACCTAATGTTCTCAATACTCACATTTCCTTTAAGAATTTGGAAACCTTTTACCTTTCTATGTGGCTAAGGTGAAGAACTGCTTCCTGTGCTTCATAATTTTCCTCCAGGTCGCTTTTGTCTCATGGATCGTGTCCTATGTTGGAAGCCTCTGCAGTTTTCTTACTTTTGCTTATGTTGGTGAGTTGTTTAGTGTCATACTTCCTTTTTTTTTTTAAGTTTTTATTGCCGCAGTCTAGCAACTTGCTAACTGATGTTTGGCTTTTTCTGCAGGGATTCTTCTCAGTCTTTCAATCCCAGTCCTGTATGACAAATACCAGCACCAGATTGATGAAAAGTTGGTTGTAGCACAGAGAATACTTGAAGCTCAGCTAAGAAAAATTGATGATACCCTTCTGAAGAAGCTTCCACTGCTATCACACAAGGAAAAGAAGGTTCAATAGGTAAATGCTCCCGATGTATCACTCTTTTCCCCCTCTCCTACACTCTCGCGTGTCTATGTCTACCTATTGATATATGAACCCTCACTACAAAGGTTTTTGGGTAATTGGTCCCGGTATTGAGCGTGGCCTTGATTCTCGCAAGCTCATTAGTCTTTCAGAAACCATGAGGCACTTTATTTGTCCGCTTTTCTGTTGATTTTTTTAAAAGCTATCCAGTTCTACCTCATATCTGTATGCCCATGTTCTGTATTGATGCTTCTTAGGGATCAATCTCATCTATTTCTATCGAACTCTTTCCTGAGAGAAGAGCATTGTCCATTTCTATGACTTGGTTCTGTCCATGCTTTACCGCACTCTATATTTTAATGCTATGAAAGAAGGGATAGGGGGGGGGGGGGGGGGGGGGGGGATTTTATCATACTGATTTCAATTTTCTATGGAATACATGCTGTACCATGATTTTGAGCACCAGGAAGTTATTATGTCTTGGAGATATCTGTGCTGAGGCATGAGGGCTATCTGTTGATGTTAAGATGGCTTGGTTCCTCATTGTTGTTTGCTTCCCCTTTGAACGATAGCAACCATTTTATTGAACTAGTTGATAGAATTAACATATGCACACAACTATGTTCTGCTATATGTTATGCTCGGCGAAATCGTTCATTTCCCAATGTTTTGTTTACTTTAGTGCGTTAATTCAAATTCTCTTACTCAATATAAGCTTCACCATCATCTTCTTGGTCATTTTCAGGTAGCTAGAGGTTTTGAACGCAGTTGCTGGCTCTTCTGAGTTTGGGAATGTCTTCGTGCTAGTTTTTGGAAAAGGTCAAATAGCTATAGGGGATGCATAGTTTCTATGTTGCTTATTCCTGTTTGCCTTTCCCTCCATCTTCCACCAGAATCTGACTGTTAGATCTCCAATTCTTGTTCATTCATGTAGTTCGATTGCTCGAGTATCTTTTCCACCACCGGAGTGCATTGATGGCTTTGAGAGGGAAGATGGAAAATAGTTGCCTTGGTTTTTTAAGGTGTGGCATTAGGCAGTGAGGTTCCACTTTGTACATGATCCATTTTCTTTGGCGAATGAGTTTGCTTATAGTACTCAGACTTTGTAATGTCAAGATCTCGGTATTTCTTTCACAGTTGATCTGTGGCGATAGCTTCTGTTCGTTGTTGTACGAATCTCCGTCATTTGCTTGAAACAGGTAATAGAATAGAACTGGATTGGATTGGGGATTTTTCCAGAAACACCACTATTTAATAAAAATATTACAAAAATACTACCCAATGCAAAAAATTTCCACTTATACCACCTTTTTCTAAGAACCGATTCCAGGAGAGGTGTTTTTATTGTAAACCGCTCTGGTTAAGAGCGGTTTTGATTTGGGCAATAAACCGCCCCTCCCAGGCGTGGTTTTAAGGCTGCCCTAGGTCAACATGACATAAACCGCTCTAACAAGGTGCGGTCTGTTGAAACCGCTCTGGGGAGGAACAATTTTCTTGTCGACACCAAAACCGCCTTGGGGGAGCGGTTTTTTGTGGTTTTCCCCACTGTCCCGACAGAAAAACAGTTGGCATGCAGGGGATTGCTGGGGTGGGGAATGTGTTTTGTGAAAACCACTTGGGGGGGGTTTCATGGGGTTTTTTTTGCTATAAAAGGCATCCCCCGAAAACACAGCACTGCGCCCCTCTTCCTATTCTTTTTTAAGTTTTTGTTTTAGCGATTCGTGTTTTATATTATAGAGATTAACGTTACGTTGTAAGTTTGTTTTGTATTACTTGTTATTGTAATACAAAGTACCACACAATTTCGGTTCTGAGCAAATTAAAGGCATACATGTCATCACAAATTCAAATTTAGGAAAGATCCACATAATACGAAATAAGGACAACTCATGCATTTCCTCGACGAGCCGCCATCTGCTTCCTTGTGCGACGGGCTATGTGTCCCAACGGTGTAGCAGGAGCTGGGCGCGGTGGTAGCAAACGAGGATGGCGCTGATCCGTGCTATGTCGACGCTGCACCGAGCTAGGCGGCTCATTCATTTGCGGCTGGGGTTCATCCACACTCATACGATGGGGAGTGTAAGGCCGTTGTTGCTGATCTAGCGTAGCCCATCCTTGTTGAGGTTGAGGTATGAAGTCGCGGGGAGCGGACGTGCCTGAATCATGCAAACTACCGGATGATGTGCCTTCATGGAAAGAAGGTCGCGGAGGAGGGTCGTGGTAAGTACTCTGCGGGGCCTCGTGGTAAGTACTCCGCGGGGGCTCGTGGTAAGTACTCGGCGGAGGCTCGTGATAAGAACTCCGTGGAGGCTGCTCGTGGTAAGAACTTCGCGGAGCCTCGTGGTAAGAGCTTGAGTCGCCACCTTGACCATCCTCCAAAGGATTTGGCATGCACCATGCATCGAACGACCTGATCTCGGGCACGAATGGTCGTTCCCGTTGACACGCTAAAACACAACACCTAACAATGGCCAAATGTAACCAATGAAAGGGACTGTAGTATAGTGGCACAAGTAATAAATATATCGAATCCACGGGTCTCTAGAGTTACTATTACTCAGCTGCAGTTCATTATCTAGCAAACTAGATTAAGGATTGATTTATAAACTACTCTACTGACTACTCTACTAATTACAAGTTGGGAACTCACTAAGGTATGATTCCCCCTAGCTCCTCAATTAGGTCCAAGTTGCAATTACCTTTGGTTGATCTACTGTTGATTAAACTGCAGAAGATCCTAAATTAGCTTGGAATCTCTTAAACTGACCGAGCCCTCTCAGACAGAATACTCGGCAGGCGACTAGCCTTCACCGGGATAGACTGTTAAGGCGATTCACACAGATCTCCACTACTGGAATGAATTCCAGTACAAAGCAGTGAATTGGTTGACTCTCGCACAACCAATTCACCACTATCAATCAAGGAAGCTCTCTTAACCTAATCAGATTCTATCTATCATAGGTTAAAGCAGAAATCAAGAGAATTTGATCAAGATTCAATTGACTCAATAAATCATGCCTCAATCGATTATAATCAAACAATATAGCATCCAAAACTTCATACAAGAAAGATCCTAACACATGGAACTAGGGTTCCTCAAAACCTAAGTGAAGGGAAGTTACTCCATAGAGAAGAGAGAGACTGCAGAAATATGATCTAGATCTTCAATCTCCATCTCCAAGCTTGATTTCCGAGCTCCAATGGCGAAGAAATCCTCCAAAATAGCTCAAAGAATGTTCCCAAGTCGCTCTCTCTCTAGGGTTCGTCCCTTGGGTGTTTGGGAACCAAAAACCCAGCTCTCTCCTTTCCTTTTTCTGAAAATCGGGTTTTAACCAGAAATTCCCGATCACACGGCCGTGTGACTTTCCCAGATGCCCGTGTGAGGGCTCGGTGATTTCCACACGGCCACATGGCCAGTTCACACGGCCGTGTGGGTCGTGCCCGTGTGGCTTGCTCAGCCTCTGTTTAATGCTTCGTTTCTCCCTCGTCCGGACTCCGAATCAGTCGCCGTTTGATCCCAGACGCTCGTAGTCTCGTCCTATTTCTTTTCATGACAAAATTACATGATTATTTGTCCATAATATGAGGTAGAAGTCCATTATTCCTCAGGTCATGCTCGTGTTTCTTCTCCCGAATTGCCGAATGATCTCCGATTGACTTCAAACTTGCACCTATGCTTCAATTTACATGCCAGGACCTGAAATGTGACAAAGGAACACAACCTAGCATAAAATAGGCCAAATAAGCGATAATGCAAGCTTAAACGATCAAGAAATAAAGGGGAAAACATGTGCAAATATCGAGTCATCAAATCCCCCCACACTTAACCGTTTGCTTGTCCCCAAGCAAACCTAACTCAAACCAATGCAGCTCTCCAGACCTCTATAGCAACAAACAACCCCGATCGTCGGTAGAGGATTTTCTAGATCATATAGCAGCTTACGAGGTCAACTAGTCTTCTAAGACGTTCTCTATCTCTCTCAATGCGAGTACTAGACTCAAGCCAGGATCATGAGAAAAAGTGGAAGTAAGACAGCCAGTTTATGGATAAAGGGACTCACACCATTCACAACCAAGGACTCGTTGTACCGGGGTGCTCTTTCACTTCATTTCACCATTGGAACCCCTTTTTTCAGTTTCATTTACATTTCTTGATCTCTTTTTTTTTTCTTCATTCACTTGGCGGGGGTTCCAACTGCAGTCTTTTGCACGGTCGACCCTTATTAGTCGAGCAAGAGCAATTTTTGTACACCTGGCTCTCGCCAGGGTACTTCTTTTAACTCCTTTTCCTCAACTCGTGTGGAGGGTCAATGAAATTAAGGGGGGTCGGAAGCTCTATCCGTGCCCTTAAAAACACATCCTCGAGTAGGCAAACCGTTCAACGGGTGAAAGTTTTACTTGTACTGGAGACAACTTAGCTTCACCTTGTAGGAGTACCCCACTAAGGATCACTAAAATCTCCTCCAAAACCCGATTTTGTGCAATGAACGGTGCCACACACGTTGGGCTTACCCCATGTTTAAGATTTTTGATGATTTCGACATGGAGGACCAACTGCTTTTCATTTGCCACATGAGCACCCTGTTCAATACACGAGTCCATAACACAATTCAAACAGAGTCCACATTACCACATTAATTCAACGGTCTTAGCTCCACTAATTCACAAAATCAACTAACACAACAGAGAGCTAGATTGGAAAAATCTTATACTTCAACATCCTCCATAGTGCTACACTACCTCCCTAGGTTTCACATTACTATAGAGACTGTCAATTCAAAGCATACTGAGCAAGCAATTTGCAAGGAAACACGTACTTGGAGCCCTCAAATTTAAAATAAAATTTGTACTGTGGACTGAGCAGAAATGAAGAGAATTTGATCAAGATTCAATTGACTCAATAAATCATGCCTCAATCGATTATAATCAAACAATATAACATCCAAAACTTCATACAAGAAAGATCCTAACACATGGAACTAGGGTTCATCAAAACCTAAGTGAAGGGAAGTTACTCCATAGAGAAGAGAGAGACTGCAGAAATCTGATCTAGATCTTCAATCTCCATCTCCAAGCTTGATTCCCGAGCTCCAATGGCGAAGAAATCCTCCAAAATAGCTCCAAGAATGTTCCCAAGTCACTCTCTCTCTAGGGTTCGTCCCTTGGGTGTTTGGGAACCAAAAACCCAGCTCTCTCCTTTCCTTTTGTTGAAAATCGGGTTTTAACCAGAAATTCCCGATCACACGGCCAGGCCACATGGCCGTGTGACTTTCCCAGATGCCCGTGTGAGGGCTCGATGATTTCAACACGGCCACATGGCCAGTTCACACGGCCATGTGGGTCGTGCCCGTGTGGCTTGCTCAGCCTCTGTTTAATGCTTTGTTTCTCCCTCGTCCGGACTCCGAATCAGTCGCCGTTTGATCCCAGACGCTCGTAGTCTCGTCCTCTTTCATTTCATGAAAAAATTTCATGATTATTTATTCATAATATGAGGTAGAAGTCCATTATTCCTCAGGTCAAGCTCGTGTTTCTTCTCCCGAATTGCCGAATGATCTCCGATTGACTTCAAACTTGCACCTATGCTTCAATTTACATGCTAGGACCTGAAATGTGACAAAGGAACACAACCTAGCATAAAATAGGCCAAAGAAGCGATAATGCAAGCTTAAACGATCAAGAAACAAAGGGGAAAACATGTGCAAATATCGAGTCATCACCCGTGCGCTCTTGTTTAGTCTCCTTTGTCTTGGTGGCGGCGGGTTGGGTACATCGGTAGATACTCGAGGGGCAGGCACAGGAGGCAAAGGAGGGTATCTACGATGATCGCGCCCACGTGCTTTAACACAGGCCAGGAGAGCATTCGTAATCCTCCGCAGGAGACTCACTTCTCGGCGACCCAAAGTATCCCCACTACGGGACATGGACTGAATATGCTCGAGTCTGTCAATCTGAAACACACCATTTCACAAAGTTAGGAAATTAAATGTAAGTATTTGGATAAAAACTAACCATTAATGTCTATAAAAGTGAATAAAACAAATTCTTGCAAGAAATTTCTTACCAAAGCACCGTCCGTCGCACCATCTGGCGTCATGTATCAGACCGATTGTTTCCGATACTGTTCTAGATATGGGTCATGATACCCCATCCGCACGAGAGATGGGGGAGTGACAATATCATGAGCACTCCTAATGTTCCAGATCTCGATGAAGCTCCTCAACTTATGTGGCCAATTCGAAACACCTTGACGACCATCTTTCCCATGGAATGCCTTTTGGCTTGCGGGGACTTCTAATGGCAAGCATTGCTCACGACCAAATTGTCGTAAGCATCGATCCGACAAGTGTCACTCCACAATGAAGTGGCAAATGAGTGGCACTCGCGTGCACCATTGACCGGGATGCATCGGGAACTTGTGGATGTGATTTTGAATGACCCGGTCAGGGTACAGATCGAATATAATCTACACAAGAGAAAACAAAGTTAGTCTTTGAAAAAATTTACAAATTGAGTGGACAAAATCACAAAGGAGTAGATGTTTACTGATGGTTACCTCTGCTTCCCAAAAATGATCCAACCTCCTCCGATACTCTTCCAACTTGTGCCCCGCCATGTTGTCGCATGTTGTTTGTCCAAGCCATCTTATTGAATCGACAAACATACAAAGTTATAACTATCTGTCATTAAGTAGTACGAAAGAAGTTTAAGAATTGATTGAGATATGAGAAGTTTACCTACAACCATGCGCTTGAACTCTATAGGGGTGGTCATCGGCCCATTCGGCGTCAGGATCTGAGACCGGAGCAATCCATGGAAGATGCTCCCAAGCCCAAAATTGGACGATGAACATCGCCCCATCAATATCCCTTACCGCTTTCGGAGTTGCATTACAGAGGGAGCGGTAGATATGAGCTAGGCATGCGGATGCCCAACTTAGGTTCCCCATATCCTCCCATGGACCAAGGAGGATCTTCAACCAACCATTGCTGATTAAGTTGTTTGATTTCTTGGGGAAGAATACCCCTCTGATCATGCCGATGAGGTAAACACGTGGATAGATCTCCTTATCCACCTCATCACTTTCCTCCATGAGGAGAAAGCCATCCTGCGCAGGGTCGTGCTTCTTCTTGATCTCGTTCGTCAACCAAGTGATGGATACTTGGCGACTACTAATTGGTGCCCGACCATCCTCCTCGTCGTCTCCTTCTCCCTTTGCAGGCACGAACAAACCCAAGGTGGTCCATATCAAATACTGCCACCCGTTCATCTCGTCAACATCTGAGGGTGGTGGGTGATCGTCCACACACATGACATCGCCGTCAATGGGCAAATCGGTTAGGATGGCGATGTCCTTCAGTGTGATGGTGCACTCGCCTTCGGAGAAGTTGAAGCAATGGGTCCCCGATCGCCATCTCTCCACCAACGCTGTGATGAGCCGGCGGTCGATCTTGATTCCTACGAAATGTCTAATCGAATCCAACCTTGCCCTTTGAAGATAGGGCAAGATGGCGTCGTTCCATGGGAGCACAGCGCTGGAACTCCTAGACCGAACTATACGGTGAGCCTCCTAGCGAATAAATAAACTTTCGCTATAAGTTTATGATTTATATATATATATAAATCTATTTGAACAATGTATAAATAATTTACTAAAAAAACATATATAAGTTAACTAAAATAATTAACTAAATTAAATTAATGGTCATTTTGAGACATTACATTGTACATAGAATTAACAAAATCAAGGTTTTTCACAATGTATAAATAATTTACTGAAAAAACATATTTAAGTTAACTAAAATAATTAACTAAATTAAATGAATAGCATTTGAAACATTTCATTGTACATAGAATTAACAAAATCAAGGTTTTTGACAATATATAAATAATTTACTAAAAAAATATATTTAAGTTAACTAAAATAATTAACTAAATTAAATGAATAGAATTTTTAAACATTTCATAGAATTAATTATGTACATAAAATTATACTCGATTATATTATTTTTTAAATCATATTGAATATTTTCGATAATTTAAAGCATACAAGTACACTCGTTAGACTCTTAGAAGAGGTATACATCTCCTTAGAAACACAGCCTTTTTGACAGAAAAAGGGGGGATCCGAGAATCTCTTAGAACCCGATTTTCCCAGGTCATGGGAGGAACATGATGATCGCTTAAGACCCCATTTCCTTAGGCATGCATCTCTTTATGAAGAGTTTAAGTGGCACTTTGTATTGCTTTAAATTATTGAAAATATTCAATATGATTAACAATTAACAAATTTATTTACAAACAGCTAACTCACGTTAACAAAATAAAAAAGATATACTTATGTGTTAGAAACAAAGATTCTAACGGGATTCGTATGAGGTGATATTTGGGAATTTAGGGATTGAGAAGATAGAATTAGGGATTTGGAAGAAGAATTGGGGGAGAATATAAGAGAATCGGCCTAAGCCTTTAGAGGGATTGAGGTCAAGAATTGAGAGGATTGGGATAGGAATTTAGGGAGATAATTCTTTATTAACTTCTGCTTAATGTGACGAATGACCCAAAGTACATATATATAGGGAAATACTAGAAAACCCTAAGAATAAACCTAATTCTACAAGAAGACTACTAACCATAATAAGAATTACCCTAATAATGATTATAATAATAAATATAGAAACCCGATATAATTCGGTTTCTAACATCTCCTCCCCCTTCAGACCAACCTTGCCCTCAAGGTTGATCAACTCGACCCACTCTTCTCTTTCTTCTCGCACAATCCGCGGTTGACTCCTCCATTTCTTACGCTTCCTTTTCTTCCAATTGTGCTCCACTACTTGAATGAAACCGACTCCATCAACTCTGTCTTCCATGGCTTCTTCTCTACCCGCATGGCTCGTTTCAAAACCATGGCGAAATGACTCACCAACCTCTTTTTCAAACTCTACAAAGTAAGAATCAGAGAGTTGTTCTTCCTTGAGTCCATCTTCACAATCCACCTTAAAATATTTAACAGATTGATCCATTGTTTTTGCCACGTGCTCGATGATGAAGACTAGTCCTTCCCTGTTCCACTCTTCTCCCAGTGACTTTGGGTTAGGCTCTCTTGAAAGCCCACCTTCAGTTTCAGCAAGCCCACTTCCTTCTTTCTTTGATTTCTTTCCCTGCAAAAGAGGTCCAAATAAACAGCCTATGCGAGACCCATAATAACCTTCTTGCGTGGCCCAGTTATTCCGTTCCTTCTTAGTTGCTGCTAGCCCACTATTCATCTCACACTCCTCAGCATATGAGCCCGCGGATCTCGGCCCAACCAACACAAGAGAACTCGGGTAAGATTGCTCCTATGCAGTCCAAGTATTGGGCTATCCGGAGCCCAACTCGGCCCCATCCTTATCCCGTTCTGCCGATCCAAAATAAGCCCATCAAAGCCTCTTTCGCCTTCTCCTGGCCCAATTCGCTGCTGCTGTGGTGCTTGGCCCAAGGAGACTTCTTCCTTGTCCTGTTCCGAATTTCAAGCCCCATGAAGCCCATCCGTCTCCAGTGAACAGGCCTGCCCTCGACGGATCGGCCCAAAGACAGCCTCCCTTGCAGTTCCTTTCGGCCCATCAAGAGCCCAGCTGCCGTGCGGTGCGAGTCCACTTCCCGTGACCTAGGGTTAGCCCACGAAAGGAAGACGCCGCCCTCTTCTTCGGTCGCCGTCTGCTCCGGTTCTTCATCCGGCGGCGAATCGCCCAGCCGACTACGCGGAGACCAGCACACTCCTCGCCCCGACTCCTGCATTGTCTTCTCGACGGTCGACGCGGCCACGGTGGTCGTCGTCATCTTCTTTGACGGCAACCGCTTCGCCTCGTTCTCCGGAGAGTGCTCCGTTTCTTTCTTCTCAGCGATCGCCGTACCGGTTGGATTCCTCGCCGACTGCGACGTCCTATAACCGCTTCGTGTTGATGGCAGAGAAACCTGGCGAGCCTGCCTTGCCAACCTTGCCTCCGAACCCGTGGCGGTCCGAATCATAGGCTTCTTCTCCAACTCGTTTCGTACGGCGGTCGCGGTGCCGAGCTCCGCCAGCAACGAGCGAATTTCCCAACCTCGTGCGACGATCCTGTTCTTCGCGGCATTTGACTCTGCGTCGATCGACGCCAACTCCTCTTTGCGTCGAGAGATGGTGACGTGAGGCTCAGCTAAGCTCAATCGAGACTCCCCGATCATGGCCGTTTGGATTTCCGCCGTTGCAGCGGGCAGGTTGGCCTCACCGAGCCCAACTGGTGGCTCCAAGTACCTTCTCGAACATGGCAACGACGCCACCGCGATGCAGCCTCCTTCGCCCGGTCGCACCTTCTTTTTCCTAAATCTCCAGTTCGCTGGCCGATTTGGCGTTGCTATACTCCCTGCAATTTCATCTTTGGGTTCCTTCTCAAAGACAAATGTCTTCTCTTTGCTTGGAAAAGCAGCAGAGGCAGTCAAATGTCTTCTCTTTTCTTGTTCAGGGGTGATTTCCCTCTCCTTGTCGGGAACAAGGAAGAAAGAGGCAAGACCTCCTTCGTCTTCGGTCACGACCGCGAAAGGAACCTCGACAGCCTTGTTTCGTTTCTGCTCCCTGAATGGTTGTCCAACCGCTGCAAACTGTGTTGGTGGTGGAGCCACACTGGTGGTGGCTGGTTGTGACGGGAGCTGCTGCCCATCTTCAATCTCAACATCCGGATCTCCATTTTCGACGGCAGCTGAAAGGAGTACGGTGGCGATTTCAGCTGCCAGTGCTGGTGGTGACTTAGTCACCTTTGTCTCGTCGGCTGCCTCATCACCCGCCATCGATGGCTGCTTCTTTGCTGCGTCATCATCCGCTGCGGTGTGCGTCGAAGTTTGTTGCTCGTCGGCCCAGTCAGCCTCTACGGTACACGGCCGTCTCGCGTCCTCTTCGGCCTTCTCACGTCGCAATGAATACGATTTCCAATAATCGAGGATTTGCCACATTAGTTCCTGCTTTTGAGCCCACGTCAGCTCTGAAGGTTTTGGTGAGCATGTCGTCTCGGGTCGCCGCTCCCCAGCCTTCGCATCGCGCTCGGACAGCTGCAGAGGTAGTTCTCCGTCAGTCTCCTTGGGTATCACTTCCTCCTGCGCGATCGGTAGCTCCTCGGGGATCCAACGACGTCCGATGCGGCGGGCCTGTTCCCGCAGTTCCGCCCATGACAGGTCCGAGAGCCTTGAAGAGCTCATCGTCGAACAAGTTTTAGAACTTGTCCCCGGTTGAGAGTTGTGAAAAACTCAATTCTCGAACCGGGCTCTGATACCATATGTTAGAAACAAAGTTTCTAACGGGATTCGTATGGGGTGATATTTGGGAATTTAGGGACTGAGAAGATAGAATTAGGGATTTGGAAGAAGAATTGGGGGAGAATATAAGAGAATCGGCCTAAGCCTTTAGAGGGATTGAGGTCAAGAATTGAGAGGATTGGGATAGGAATTTAGGGAGATAATTCTTTATTAACTTCTGCTTAATGTGACGAATGACCCAAAGTACATATATATATATATAGGGAAATACTAGAAAACCCTAAGAATAAACCTAATTCTACTAGAAGACTACTAACCATAATAAGAATTACCCTAATAATGATTATAATAATAAATATGGAAACCCGATATAATTCGGTTTCTAACATTATGAGAAATTATAAGTACCTCGTGATCGTTCCAAACATCTCTTGAACGATGATTTTGTTGGTCGTATAACACCGTTGGATCAATCGGTCCTTGATCGACGTAATATCTTTGGTCGTAGATATTAACATTCGGCCCAACCTACGATAGCATAACAACAATATAAATTAAATAGTATATAGATTAAATAAAATCATTATAACAACAACAAAAACAAGAGAAAAATGAGTACATACCGCTTGATAGTCATCCACAAAGACCCCCTCCTCCTCGATAAAATCGGCCATATTTTCAGGAACCGGACAGAGATTCGATGGGTTTTTAGGAAAAAACTCGGAAATGTTTTCTGATGGCAGTTCGGACTTAGCCGCAACCAACATACCACTATTTCCTAGTTTTTTGGGTGGGGAGGGGAATGGTAGAGAGAGGAGAATGAGTTTTGGTGTGAAGAAATGAGAAGGGGGAGGGGGCTATTTATAGTTTCAGAACCGTGCCATTGAGGGACAGTTATGTAATTTTGGAACTAAAAAACCGCCCACCCACGGTTTTCATTGTGCTTCTCCCAAGAGTTGTCCAAAACTGACATGTAACGATTTATAGAGGGTGATACGTGTTGGGGGTGTTCAGATCGGAGAAGGCCATGAAACGTGGTGGAGCCTAGTAAGAGGGATTGGATCTAAGTAGCCCAAGAAGAGGCGGGGCCCGCGTGTCTACTCGAGACCCGAAGGCGGGTTCAAGAAGATCATTTGGATAATGTCCGATGCCTATCAGTTTGGACAGGGAAGGGGTGTCGATCTGGGCACCTGATGAAGCGGTGACGTGGGCAAGCGCTCGTTAGGTGTCTAGTGTGTACCTGGCAGTTGTGAACGCCAAACCAGGCGCTTAGAATCACACTGTTGCATTAAATGCGATGATGACGTGGAAGTCCGTACGGAGAGACCCAGGTAAGCGATGAACAGTTATAAATAGGGAGGTTGGTAAGCATTTACTCAATTTGGCTTCTCTCACTAAACTTTAGGGGAAAACACTTCTCTCTCTAAGGAAAAGACTGACTTGAGCGTTGGAGGATTAACGGGCCACAAGGTCCACCTCTGTGTGTGTGCAGGCGGATCCAAGAAGGTGAAGGGCGCGGTACGGAAGGGAAGTTTGTAGATCGAGAAGGCTTCAACAGCGGATCCATGAAGGTGAAGGGAGCGGTACGGAAGGGAAGATTGTAGATCGAGAAGGCTTCAACAATTGGCTCGCCAGATAGGAGAAGAACGAGTGCGAACATAGCCAAGTAATAGTAGGCTGAAGAAGAGGCTCCCTTGAGACAATGGAAGACGGCGGGAGCGAAGTTGAGGAACAAATCATGGCGGAGGTATCCCTAGAAGTGGGGGAGCAGACACCCAGTATGAATGAGGAGGAAGGAAGTGAAGACCGGCACCCGAGTTCGGATGAAGCCTCAATCACTAAGAAGGATTTGTTCAAAATTATAGCTGATCAAGATGAAGTCATCGGGGTGCTTCGGAGGGAGGTAGAAATGCTGAAAGAAGGGGCGCCTAGTCCAACGACGAGGAAGAGGGAGAGGACGTTGGAGGCCGAGGGGGAGTCCAGTTCACTAAGGTGCCTTGTTAGCATGAGGCGCCTGGCCGACTATGGTGACTCTGATGCTGAAAGAAACGTGTGGATGCAGGGACGCCCACCTCGTCAGTTCGTGGTGAGGCAGCCGTTAGCAAGGAGCGTGCTCGCTGAGCCAGCAAGTAACAACATTCCGCCACTCCCCTCCTACAACGGTACGGCGGATCCGGATGATCACCTGAACAACTACTTCACCAAAATGCAGCTGTATAACAGTACGGACGCGACCTTGTACAAGGTGTTCCAATCGACCTTCGCTGGCATAGTCCTCGACTGGTACCATCAAATCGAAGAAGGGCGCATAGAGTGCTTTGAGCAATTTGCGGCAATGTTTTTGGCAAAGTTCGCAAGCAGAAAGCGCCGTACGCTGACCGTGGGTGCCCTGTTCAAAATCAGGCAGAGAGAAGGAGAAACCTTGAGGGAGTTCTACGAGCGCTAGATCCCAGTAGCGATGGCAGTGAGAGACGTACAGCCGCCGGTACTAGGGGTCCTTCTTGAAGAATGCCCCACGAGTGAGGAGTTTTATCGGGCGCTAGCTAACAGAGACGTGGTATCCATGAAGGACTTGGATCATAGGGTACAAAAGGTCATTGTGTTTGAAGAGACGCTAGCGGTGTTGGTATCAAGAGAGGTGCCTTTAGGAGAAGAGAAACCAGTCTACTACGTGAGCAAGAAAATGGGATCCCACGAAAGGCGGTATGCGCCCATCGAAAAAGCTGCTTTGGCAGTGGTGACCGCTACTACCAAGTTGCGCCTGTATTTCCAGGCGCATGTCGTTGTTGTTCTCACTAACATACCGCTCAAATCCACCGTGGGCTCCATGGATGTGGCTGGGCGCCTAGTTAAATGGGTCGTGCAGCTAAGCGAGTTCGACATCATATACGCGCCCCGACCGGCAATCAAAGCTCAGGTGCTTGTTGATTTCGTGGCAGAAGTAACAGTGGAGGCTGAAGGGGCCGATGAGGAGATGTGGCAGGTTCAAGTGGACGGGGCGGCGAGTCGAATTGGCGCCGGAGCAGGAATAGTAATTATCAGCCCCATGGGAGTTATGCATGAGATTGCTTTGCGATTCGCGGAGCTCAAAACTAACAATGTCGTCGAGTATGAAGCAGTCGTCGCGGGGCTTCATATGGCGCGAGAGTTAGGCGCCCAAAGTGTATGTGTCAAGTCAGATTCAGCCCTTGTGGTCAACCAGCTCAATGGGACGTTCGATGTGAAGGAGGAGGCCCTTGAAGCCTATGTCCAAGCAGTTAGAAGAGAGGGCGCCTGGTTCAGGGAAGTGGAATTTGTGCATGTTCCAAGGGAAGAAAATGCCCACGTAGATGCACTATCAAAGTTGGCCACGGCCTTGGACTTCGCCGAAGAGAGGAAAGTCATTGTTATAAAGGAGGTGCCACAAGAGTATGTGGTAGCAACCATGGGCAATTCCATTGGGGGCGACGGTTGGATGGCGCCCATTTTAGCATACCTAACTTTGGGAACGTCCCAGAGAACCCAAAAAAGGCATGACGACTTAGGTGGAAGGCGGCCCGGTGCTCCATAATTGAGGGGTGCCTGTATAAACGGTCCCATTTAGGCGCATATCTAAGGTGCTTGAGCAGTGAGGAAGGCCAAGTAGCACTCGAGGAGGTTCACAGCGGCAGTTGCGGAATGCACGCCGGCGCTCAAAGTTTGGAAAAAACATTGCTTCGTCAGGGGTGCTATTGGCCAACAATGCGGAAGGATTCCAAGTTTCACACGGGCGCCTGTCATCAGTGCCAGGTCCACACTATTGACATACATATCCCGACTGCACCAATGCAAAGCAACACGGGCGCTTGGCCTTTTGCATTGTGGGGGATGGATCTTTTAGGTCCTTTTCCGAAGACGCCTGGACAAATGAAGTATTTGATAGTCGCCATTGACTACTTCTCCAAGTGGGTTGAAGCCGAACCCATGGCAACCATTACGAAGGCCCAGCTGCCCAAGTTCGCAAGGAAAAACATATTCACTCGATTCGGATTGCTGGAGTCTATCGTCACCGATCATGACAAACAGTTTGACTGTAAGCAGTTCGTGGATTTTTGTGATGCGCACGGGGTGGTACTAAGATTCTCCTCTTTAGCATACCCGCAAGCTAATGGGCAAGCCGAGGCGGCTAACAAGTGCATCCTTCATGGACTGCACACACGACTCCTAGGTGCTAAGGGGCATTGGGTAGAGAAGTTGCCAAGTGTTCTTTGGACGCGTCGAACAATGTACAAGGTTGCCACTGGTGAGACACCCTTTGCGCTGACCTATGGCAGCGAAGCGGTAATTCCTGTCAAGATCAACATCCCGAGTTATCAGGTGTCGCATTATGATCCGGGCTAGAATGATGAGGACAGGGTTGCTGAGTTGGACCTCTCTGACGAGCGCCGGGAGGTGGCATCTGTACGTCTGGAGGAAATGAAGAGGCAGGTGGCCCAGTACTACAATAGAAAGACGCGCCCGCATGTCATTACCAAAGGCGCCCTAGTTCTCAAGAGAGACTTTTGGTCATGTGCTCAGGATGGAAAATTGGTTCCCAAATGGAAAGGCCCGTATCGAGTGGGGGAAGTCGTTGGGGCGGCTACGTTCAAACTAGAGCATCTTAATGGCAAGCCGGTTATGAGAATGTGGAATGCGCAAAACCTACGTGTGTATTGCGCCCTATTGGGGGGCAAAGAGGCTGAACGTTGAAGGAACAAATTTGGGCGCCTGTAGGAGTAAGTTGATAGAAGATCGTGTGAATGTTGTGCGTTTAACCAAAACGCTTGTTGTGTTCAGCGCCTAGTTTTGTGATAGAAGTGTGTGTGTTAATGAAAGCGCCTTCATAACAGTGCCCTTTTGATCGTTGAAGCTTGCGTGGAAATGTGTTGTCATGACAACCGCCCAAGTAATTTGCGCCCGCCACAAAGAATAGCGCCCTTACTTGC